TAACATTTTTTAAAGGTAATATGAACTAAAAAACAACCCTTTAGATTTACCAACCTGTTGCTATAGCCTTAAGGTAAATTCAAAGGTTATTTTTTAGTATAATTTAACTAATTAAAGGAATCTTTTGGTAATATTACTAACTAGTAATTTACTAGTTAGTTTAAAACACTATAAAAAAACAAATATTTAACTAGTTAGTAATATTACTTATAAGTTAAAAAGTAGGTTATTTTAGAAGTTTATAAACGTTACATTAACTTCTAATTTACCAACCTGTTGCTATAGCCTTAAGGTAAATTCAAAGGTTATTTTTTAGTATAATTTAACTAATTAAAGGAACCTTTTGGTAATATTACTAACTAGTAATTTACTAGTTAGTTTAAAACTATAAAAAAACAAATATTTAACTAGTTGGTGATATTACTTATAAGTTAAAAAGTAGGTTATTTTAGAAGTTTATAAACGTTACATTAACTTCTAATTTACCAACCTGTTGCTATAGCCTTAAGGTAAATTCAAAGGTTATTTTTTAGTATAATTTAACTAATTAAAGGAATCTTTTGGTAATATTACTAACTAGTAATTTACTAGTTAGTTTAAAAGTGACTATAAAAAAAATATATTTAACTAGTTAGTAATATTACTTATAACTTAAAAGTAGGTTATTTTAGAAGTTTATAAACGTTATATTAACTTCTAATTTGTACCTAGTTATTTTTTTAGTCATATTTTGGTTTACTTTAACTTGTTGGTAAATTAACGTTAATTAATAAACTAGTTAAAAAGTGATGGTTTGGCAGTTTTCATTATTACCTGCATAGAAAAATTAATACAGCTTTATATATAAACCTATGGATTGTGAATTTTGTGTGATAATGGAGCCAAAAAAGAAATAAATTTAAAAAATATAGACTTTCTTCAACTTACTATAAAAGAGTTAACAAAGTTGTAAATATTTATTTATTTACAAATCTTAAAACAGTCCCCTGACAATTAATTAATCTATAGGTTTTATTACAGGACAGATGCGTTTTATAAAAATAATGCAGGGCTGCAACTAAAATCATAACGTAAGATCGGAGGACTTTTTGTTTATAGGTAAGTTATTTTAAAAATAACAAGTTACTTTAATTTAACTAATTTTGGTAATTATTAACTATAATGTGTTACATTAACCAAATTTAAACCAAAACCAAAGAGTTATAAATTACCGATACCTAAATAAAGTAGTTCAATTAAACACAATAACCAAATTGTTAAAATAAACTTGCAGGTTATATAACCAATAAGTAAAAGCATCCTAAAATCGCCATTTTAACAAAAGGAAATGCCAATAATTTGTTCCAAAAATAAGGTAATTTAAACAAACCAATAATAAAACATATTATTTTATGTTTAATAGTTATTTATGTATTAAGGTAGTAAAGTCGTATTTTTTAATAACCACGTGAGTGATAAAAAATGACTTTAATGCCGAGGTGCCTATTAAATTTTATCCGAAATCAAATTTAATAATACCAATAATTAAAATTGATAATCAAATCAAATGTCATTTAAATGTCTACGTATACTGTTTGTTGCGACGGTTATTATATTTGCCCGCCGCGGCGATTTTTTAATATAATTAATAAAATTAACTTATTATTTTTATTAAACAACATTTTATGAAAGGCCCAATCGACTTCCGCGACGGTGCTTTTTAGTTGCTGCTGAGGAGCAGTAGACACATCTTAAAATGTATAATGGTTTGCATACAATCCTCGTATCAAATCGGCAGTAAAGTTCTACTTTACTGCCGATTTCTTTTACTGTACTGCCGATTGTTGACTGCTTTACTGCCGTTTTCGGATAAAAGTATTTTAAATCAATTTCAAACGAAATAAAGAAAAAATAGGCAAATGTTTATTTTCTTTATTTTTGATTTTTTTCAAAGCGCATTTAAAATATAAATGTATTATGTTGAGGAGATCTGCAAATACCCCCCCTAATAAACAATCCGTGGGTTATTACGATCCTATTTGTTTAAAATAAATGCATTCAAAAAGCCATGTAAATAAAACTAACATTTAAATTTAGCGCAACGGAAATACAAGTGACATATAAAAGGTAGCGTGCCATTGGTTAGAAAAACTCTCCTGATTAAGTGGGAAAAGGTAGGGGAAAAGAATGCTAGACGCAAGTGACGGGCAGGGGAGAAGGGTGATTCGAGCATTGGAGCAGAGCCGAGCAGCAACAAGGGTTTTAGAAATTGTGTGTGCAGAAAAGTGTTGGAATTTGTAGGTTTGTACATTTTAAATAACTAAATTATTGTAGTATAAATATTCCCGAGCATTTTGGTATAATTAGTTTACACAAACACCTTGTGTAAAGATAAATATTCGATCAATTGACTTGGCGTCATCGTTCGATCTATTACGCTGTAATGGCTGTCGTTTAGAAACCACGCCCGTAAAAATTGACATGAATTAAATTAAGTTTAAATTTGGTATTTCGTATTATAATTTATATTCTAAGTTATAAACAATTGGTACGTGTATTTTATCTAATAAAAGGCAGGGATTTTTAACGACTCATTATCAAATTAAAAAAGGCATGGCTTTACGGGGATTTTATCCAATTAAAATAGGCAGGACCGTATTCGATTTAATTAAGCTAAATGTCAGGGCAGTACTTAGGATTATTTAATTAATTTTAATAAATATTTCAAAATGGGATTTTCTATAAACGCTGTGTAAATTAAGTGTATTAATTATCGATTTTCTTGAATACGGGATTTATAAAATTGTACTCGCGGATTCACATTTATGTCACGTAACTAGTAATTTTACCAGTCATATTTAAATATTTGGTATTACATTTGGAGTGAGTAGCAACAGTAATTGTACGATAGCGACATTTGATTTATCCCCACTGCCCGTGGAGTCCATGACACAACAAGCCCATTTTGAATTACTATCCTGTAAATTTTATTGGGTGCCGAGCGGTTTGATTTCATCTGACTGGTGACGTAGACTTTGTCATTGTTATTTGTGTCATTTTGATTACCTAGTATTTTATGGTAATTATTAATTTATTAAAGTTTGCCGACAAATGAGGCAAAATAGACAATTCCGAACCCTCAGCTGAAGCCCGAGTCGAGCCTGATAATTATTTACTCCCTTTCCAACAGTTGGTTGAGCCTGAACTCTAATAAATATTACATGAAAATTTGTGTAACAGTAAACTTAAATTCAACAGTAAATAAATATAAAAACTTTATTTGGATGATGGAGGCCTATTGCAGACGGAATGCTTGATGAATAAAGTTAAATTTAAAATACAAAAATAGAGACTAAGACTCAATCTACTTTCACCAAACAAACAAACAAATAAACAAACAAATCAGCAAAAAGCGAAGATAAAAATTAAAAATGAAAATAAACAAACAAATCAGCAAAAAGCGAAGATAAAAATTAAAAATGAAAAACGAGAGCTAAGCTCTAGTATAAAGTATTATTTATCTAATGTTATTTATATATTTATTTATATTTGGGTTGTAGTCGCAGTAAGGAGATATTGTGTGGTTTTAAAGAGGTTGTAGGAGGTCCTTTTCTTTCAGAGTTCACTAAGTTAAATGTCGTTTGGGTTGCGGTTATTTTTGTTGCTCTATCCAAATAAATATCATTATTGTTTGTTATAAATTGTAAATATTTTATACGTGTAACTCACTCCCATAATCCCTCATTTTGGAAGGTTTTATGAGCGATACTTAATAAAAAAATAAACGGGAGCCTTCCGGGTTTTTGACCTGAGTTCAAACGTAACTTATTGCCTTTTATTTATTGTAATTTTTATTTCCCTTTTAAATACTTTCCCCATGAATACCACACCTCACAAGTACCTTGGGTTACTAAATTAATGAGCTTTATTACCGTAAGTATTTATTTTATTTATTTGTCGTAATTTAATATAACATTTGCCGTGGTGTTATATTTCATTTATCACTTGGGGTGTAACTTTTTACAGATTCTTTGCTGGGGGGGGTGTGTACGCTTACAATGTACTACTTCATCAGAAAAAAAATGTCCATTGATTTTTCCTTTAGAACTATCAATATATCAATTGATATAATACAATGTATATCATTATATATATTATTTGTATACATATATACATACATGTATGTACAAAGTATGAATATTCAGGGGCGACATTTTATTTTAGGGATCTGTAAGTCATATCTAAGTTTAGTTAGAGTTAAATCTTAAACCGGTTTATTCGAGTGACCTAAGTGACAAGTGACGAAAGACTTAAAAAGTAGTTAAAAAAGGTAAAATAAACCGAATATTACCTTCTTTTTAACCAAAAGGTACAGTAACTAAGAGGTTAAATTTAACTAACATAACGTTAATTTTACCATAATTGAATTCTCCACTTATTACAAATTAACATTAATGTAATGTAAATTGAACGTTATAGTACAATATTGCCTAAATGAATTAACCAGGCATAACGTAAATTTAAGGTTAATTTAGTTGTGCTACTTGGATAGTATAGTCCTAACTAAAATAAAAATAAATAAATTATACTCATTCACAAAGTTATTCCGCTTAAAATTAAACAAACAAAAAAAGATATATAAAGCAGATTTATAAAAGCTACACAATTTTGTAAATTTTAATTAAATTGCACAACAAATTTTTCGTGTTAAAGAACTTTTAGATTTTATTTCGTTAAATATTTTTAAAATACGATTTACATTTGTTGTTTTGAATTTATTAAGCCAACATTTACTGACATAATAAATCCTTGTTTTTGAACTTAGTCACGTTCTTTAATATCTAAAGAATGACAGCATAAAAGTTAAAAAAAACATTCCTCACGTTTTTAATAGGATATTTTTGTCATCAAAACACCATATAAACGATGTTCCAAGAAGAACATAACGTTAGATTTACATAAACACAGTATTTTATTGTAATTTCTAACAATAAACAGGAAGCTTATTTTATTTATTTTACCATAATATCTCTTGATGCTTCTATGGGCCGGCGATCCCATAGAACTGTGCCAGCTGTGAGGTCTTCTTCTGGAACATAGCCTGGATGACTCCGGTCCCAGGTCATAGTTCATATGACTTGAACCTGCCATTTAGGAGACTTACACACTTTTTGTTTCATTTCCACTAAATTTAAACACGGTTTTTGGTTCACTGTGTGTCCACTAGGGTGATGCAAAAAAAATTTTTTTTTTAATTCTATGCGAGACCACTCGGGATTTCAAAGAGTATCAAGAAAATAAAAATCTGTAAAAATTTGAGAGAAATCAATTAAAATTTAGAGGTCGCTCAACGCAATTGTTTAATTTAGAAAAATCACGCATCTCAAATGCATTGCTATAAACAAGTAGGCATATTTCATACAAATTTGAATGAAAATGGTTGAATTTTTTTTTGGTGGACTCTTAATGATTATTCTAATAAATAATGTTGTCCCGATTTCAAAAAATTTTTCTTAATATTTAAAAATTATATATTAATTAGCAAATATATCTTAGTTAACAAATAATTCATTCAATTTTTTTTTTGTTTCAAAATCTGTAAAAACATTGTTAATAGGTCTACAAGCAATTATTCATTCACAAAAACACTCGCCCCCATCGTTAAATATGAGAAAAAAAATAATATTTTAATTAACTACACTTCGCGTCAAATTTAACGCACCACTAAAAGTTTGTCACATTTTCAAAGTTGATTTTCTCGCGAACCGTCAAACCGAATTTAGTGATTTTTATAATAAATTGTAGGTTTATTCTTCGGTAATAATGCGTTTATTAAAATATTTTTTTAAATTAACATTTTGAGTATATACAGGGTGCAAGAGTGATATAAAGTTTTTTCCCGGAAATTTAAAACGCCCTGTGGATTGTACCAGCTATAACAGCATATGTATCTTATAATCAAACTATAGCCACATCTTCTCTTAACATTTTGTTTTTTGATTCACCGCGATATCTTTATTAACCGAAATTTGAAACGCCCTGTTGGTTGTACCAGCTATAACAGCATATGTCTCTTACAATCAAACTATAGCCCCATGTTCTATTAACATTTTGTATTTTTATTCACCGGGTTATCTTTATTTTTAAATGAAATATACATTTAAAGATTAAGGTACCATGAATAGTGTACGATATATCGAGCACATTTTATTTGAGCATGTTGTCCCTTTCGCCCGGTAATAATTTTTTACTGATGCAGGATAATGCTATATAGTGCAAGAGTACTTACATGAGGTGGGTGTTAAAACTTTAGACTGGCCTGAAAATAGTCCGGATCTCAACACCATCGAGCATTTGTGGGATAATATGGGTAGACGACTAAGAAATCATGATTCCTTGCCTGCCTCCCTTGATAACGTAGCAAATATGCTACGAGAAATATGAAATGTAATTGATCAAGACGAGATTAGAAATCTGGTTTCGAGTGTAAGCCGTCGATGTGAAGCCGTAATTAGAAGTAGAGGCAGAAATATGCGATATTGATATTCTTTAATGTTGGTTTTATTGATTTTGTTAATATTTTTGTTGTTATTGTTACAATCGTTCTTTTTACATTTTTGTATTAAACTGGAGTTCTTTAATCTTTAACTGTATATTTCATTTAAAAATAAAGATATCGCGGTGAATCAAAAAACAAAATGTTAAGAGAAGATGTGGCTATAGTTTGATTATAAGATACATATGCTGTTATAGCTGGTACAATCCACAGGGCGTTTTAAATTTCCGGGAAAAAACTTTATATCACTCTTGCACCCTGTATATACTCAAAATGTTAATTTAAAAAAATATTTTAATAAACGCATTATTACCGAAGAATAAACCTACAATTTATTATAAAAATCACTAAATTCGGTTTGACGGTTCGCGAGAAAATCAACTTTGAAAATGTGACAAACTTTTAGTGGTGCGTTAAATTTGACGCGAAGTGTAGTTAATTAAAATATTATTTTTTTTCTCATATTTAACGATGAGGGCGAGTGTTTTTGTGAATGAATAATTGCTTGTAGACCTATTAACAATGTTTTTACAGATTTTGAAACAAAAAAAAAATTGAATGAATTATTTGTTAACTAAGATATATTTGCTAATTAATATATAATTTTTAAATATTATGAAAAATTTTTTGAAATCGGGACAACATTATTTATTAGAATAATCATTAAGAGTCCACCAAAAAAAAATTCAACCATTTTCATTCAAATTTGTATGAAATATGCCTACTTGTTTATAGCAATGCATTTGAGATGCGTGATTTTTCTAAATTAAACAATTGCGTTGAGCGACCTCTAAATTTTAATTGATTTCTCTCAAATTTTTACAGATTTTTATTTTCTTGATACTCTTTGAAAACCCGAGTGGTCTCGCATAGAATTCAAAAAAAAATTTTTTTTGCATCACCCTAGTGTCCACCTTTAGAATCAAGTTTATTTTACATTTGTTATTGTAAAGAATATTCTTAGAAGACATGGAATAGACGTCTTAAATAATCCTTAGGCATGGAAAAGGTACACAAAGGAAATAAGGGATAAGACGAAACATATTTAAATAACAGGTAAGGTATTCTATAAGAGGAAATTCACCAGGCCATAATATACTACAATAAAGGGTAAACACAACAAATACTATAAAGAAAAAAGTTCCTGAAAGAGGTAAATGGACTTTTAAAAAAAAACATAGTCGGTGTAAAGGGTAAAATAATACAAAAAGAAAGTGAAATGGGTCATAGCTATGGCATGTATGCATGGGCGCGATGAATTAAAATTAAAAATGTATTAGGCTCTTGAAGATCTTTTTGCAATATACAAGGTGGTTTAGATTTTAATCGGGAAAATTTAGTAGCACATAGAACTCGTAAAAATAAGCTTCATTTTCAAGTTTTTAAAAAAAATATTAATTTTTTCTAAAATTTTAAAAACTTCTTGCCGAATTTAATGATTTAATATTATTTAATTTAATTTAGTAGATATTTAAAAATAAAAATTGGGTACACTTCTTAACTGATAAAAATGGAATTTGTGGCAAAAGAATTTATTCATTATTGATATAAAATATTGATTCAGTTCAAAGAAATCCCTTCGGATAATATAATTGCTGCATTTAGGTGTAATATTCTCGATTCTTTTGACATTTAATTACTTTAAGGCATTTAGGCAAAATAAATCTTTAATTCAATGTTATTGCTAGGAATTGTACGGTTTTGTGCTAAACTACACTTATAAACATGGATTCTTTTAGTTTAAAGAAAGTTTCTAACTATAGTTGTAAATTTTTTGGCATTCTGCTAAAACAGCTGATGTATTTGAGGCAAACTCTCGATTCTTCTGGCTAAATTCTTCTTAATAAATTTATTTCAAGAACAAAGTATTTTTCGGAAATCACTCGGTATTTCAATAGATCTTAGTATTTAGTATACTAATATATTAGTAGTTATTAATAATATTTTATATTTGATTCGATTTTATATTTGATTCGATTGATTTGGATGTGTTTAATTTACTTAGTGAACTGATATTTTTAGTATGCTTTTACTACCTCAGATATTTGAAAACATATAGATTAAACTAGAAAGAGTAACAGTCACGGAGGATATGTTTTAGACTTTTAAAACATTGTAAAAAATAATTAATTGCGGTTAAAAATCTAGAACCTGAGCTGTAATATCTACTTAATTATAAAGGAATCAAAACACAATAAAAGTGTAGGTCAAACTCATTTAGTTTTATTAAATATCACGGGGTAACACCATCGGGGGACATTTCGTGAGATTCACCCATATGTAGGTTTTGGCTCAAATGCACAGGGATTTATTCAATATTAGGATACTTTTGTGTTAAAGTCTTAGAACGTATTGGTATATCCTTCTTATTTCTTGACAGATATCCAGTGGCGGATTTCTAAATAGTCTAGCTAGGCCATAGCTAGAGATGTAAAAAAACGGTTTTTTTTCAGATGTGAAAAAAAACATGAAAAAAAACCTAGAAAAAAAACGGTTTTTTTTGTTTTTTTCAAAATGAAATTTTAAGTAAAATATATATTAATAATAAAGTGAAATGTAGAATATATTACATTTTTCATTATTGAAAATTTTGACCTAGACTAAAAAATCTGATTTCTTATTATTTGGTATTTTCCACATTAGAAACCACACGGAAAAAAATAATCGGTAGAGGCTACCGATTGGCAATCGGTAGCAGCTACCGATTGCCAATCGGTAAACTCTACCGAAAAAACGGTAGACTCTACCGAAAAAATCGGTAGTCTCTACCGAAAAAAAATCGGTTCCCTCAACCGATTTTTATCGATAGTAGCTACCGATTATTTTTCGGTAGAGTCTACCGATTTTTTCGGAAGAGTCTACCGATTTTTTCGGTAGCCGTAACCGAGAAAATCCGCATCGATGCGCTGTTAGAAAATTAAAAAAAATATATTAATACTTAAAATAGTCAGTGTAAATAATTGTATATATTTTCTCATGTTCTCGATTAAAACATTGTATTTTGATTTATAATCAATTTCAATTGTCATGACAAAGAATAAGAGCAAATTACCAAATTTAGAACCTTGTTACAAAAAAAAAATCTCTACTTTGTAGCCACCAGACATTTAATTTAATATTTATTTAGAAATATAAAAAATTTAATAAAAATTACTCCTCATTTTTAATATTTTTGTATTTCAAATTTATTTATACCTCAAAAAAACAATACTATTTTCTATTTAATAAAAAGCGAGTATTTAACTTCTCGCTAAAAAAATAAAAACATTTTCATAAATTGGTAATCGATTTTTTCGGTAGCCTGCACCGAAAAAATCGGTAGACTCTACCGAAAATAATCGGTAGCTGCTACCGATAAAAATCGGTTGAGGGAACCGATTTTTTTTCGGTAGAGACTACCGATTTTATCGGTAGAGTCTACCGATTTTTTCGGTAGAGTCTACCGATTGGCAATCGGTAGCTGCTACCGATTGCCAATCGGTAGCCTCTACCGATTATTTTTTTCCGTGCAATAGCAATGTAAAACTTCTACACTAATAAATACAAAAAATTAAAGGATAAAAAAATGTTTTGCGATTCTTGAGATCTTTGTTAA